CCCCCCCCCCATCCGCTCTCCTATGGCTGGAAAAGCCGGAACCTGTGGGAGGAGAAATCTCTTGCCAGGCAGCCAAGGGCTCAAGCCCAATCACCAAATTCCCACCACTGCTCCTGTCCCTCCAGGGCGGGCTCCAAGCCAATTTCCCACCCCCTACCCCCCCACCACCAAGGTAGGCCATGCTGACCCTGAGGAGTCCTCTCAGTCAGTGCTACCAGCCGGGCCGGGCTCCTTCTGGCCATCGGTGGTTTCCTGAAAGCCTCCAGGGAACAGATTCCGGGTCCTCTGGGTTCCCCACTGCTGCCTGGGACTGGAGGCAGGGCTGGAGCCTGCTGACAAAGCCGTCAGCTAGGCCATGCCATGAGACCCTGCATCCTCAGGGTCTGTCCCGTGCACCCCCCTCACCATCACTGGACCAGGACGGCTTCTCCTCATCAGGCGAGGGCGGCTGCGAGGGGCTGGACCAGGGCCTGGACAGGGAAGAAGCTGACGCCTCCCCCCACAGTTCCTGCTGCTGTTGCTGATGAAGCTGGAGGACGGGAACAGGAATGAGGGCTCCTGCCTGCCCCTGAGGACAAGGCCGAGCCCCCGGGCTGGGGCAGAGAACTTCCACACCTTCTCTTGCAGCTCCCTCTAGGGACTTCCTTAGACTCCTCCCCATCAGGCTCCATTTCGCCCCTCTATCTCCCCACATTTCTTTCCAGCACCTTCCCCTCACCTGGTGCAGGTAGATGGCATGCAGGCTCATCTCAGCAGAAGCAAGCTCTGGGAGCTGGGCCAGCTTCTGGGACCCAGTGCTTCCTGGGGACGCACAGCTGGAACGTGGCACAGGAGGTGGATGGACATGCCCCCTGCCCCCCCACTCCATAGGGAGGGCCAGCCCCCACCCCACCCCCACCTCAGGCCTTCAGGCCTCCAGCCCTCACCTGGGGTCCTGAGCAATTCGTGAGATGGAGGCAAGGAGGCTGGCAGTGGCAGCAGCTGGGCAGGGGGTTGTAGGGCTCAGGTCCCTTGGGGGCAGGAGGGGGTGCACCAAGAGATTGGCCAAGAAGGTCTCGGGCTGGAGCGAAAGAGAAGGAAGAGCCAGAGGGAGTCAGAGAGAGGGCTGTGAAGGAGGCGGCAGGGCACACAGGTGGGGAGAGGAAGGCCCTGAGGCCAGGCCCAGGACTCACCAGGGGTGAGGTGGAGTCGCTGAGCACCCCAGGGGTGGGGGGGCTGCGAGCCGAGGTGGCGCCCCAGGCGGCTGCATCTTGTTGAACCCGGCCCCGAAGGTGCCCGAGGAACTTAGAGCTGTGCCCCGGGGGCTGCCATTGTGGATGCGCCAGCGAGAACCGCATCAAGGAGAGCTCAGTCTTGCCATCTTCTGCGCGCTGAGCCAGCGAGGCCTCTGTCTGTCCCGCTGAAAGCCACTGTGAGCAAGGACAGTCCTTCAGAGGCTGCGGACCCGAGCCTCACCGGGTAGGCAGGACAGGAAATGCTGTCCACTTCCGTGTGAAGGAAATGGAACATGGCCTGATGCAGGCCCAGTCCCCAGTCCCCAAGGATGGCCTTGGTCAAGAAGCCGGCCCCAGCCGCCGCCCAGGTCTCCCCCTGCCTCTCTAGCGGTTACCCTCCTAGCGGCCGACATGTGCGGGCAGCTGGGGAAGGGCTCGGCAGGCACCAGGTCGCACCGCCCTCACTACCACCGGTGCAGTGACAGACGAGGACGCGGGTGCAGGGAGGTGAAGCGATCGCTCAGGGCGGTAGCTCTCAAGGACCGAGCTGCGGTGGAGGTCTGCTTTGGGCCAGGTAAGCCAGCTCCTACCCCACACGGCCAGGGAAGGGCTCTAACCTGAGGGTGGCCATGGCGTTTCACATCCATGAGGGCAAAGGAACAGATGTCCCCAACCCCAGCCACATCCACAGTGAAATGATGAAAAAAGTCAATAATCTCCAGGGCTCGAGGGCGGAACCAGAAGAGCAGAAACAGCGGGGTGAGGAGGGGGGACAGGAGCTCCTCCAGGAGGGAGACCTGGGGAAACAGGAATGAGGCTGAGCAGGCGATGCTGAGGGCCCCACCAGTGTTCAGGACCAAGGGCTCCCAGGGTCATTCCTCAGGGCAAGAAGCCTCAACCCAGCCACTCCCTAGGCTCGAGAGATAGCCAGCGCCCTCGCCGGCGCGCCCCGCCTTCTCCCACATTGACCACCCCGGCTGCGCCTGCGCAGGCCCCCTTAGGGCCTCGACCCTCACCGCTCGGTATTGCAACAGCTGCGCCATCTGCCGGTAAGCGCTGGCCCTGCCGCCAGGGCCGGGCTCCTCCGGGAGGTAGTGCATGTGGGCCAGGGCCGCCTGCAGCAGGAGCTGCGGAGCACGAGCCTGGCACTGCTCCTCGGGAATGAAAGACCTGAAGGGCAGATCCGGAGTGAGGAAGGGGCCTGCAGTTAGGAAGACCGGGCGATGCAGGTCTTGGGGGAGCTAGCAGTGGGCAACGCAAGGATTCTCCGAAGGCGAGGAGATGGGACTCGATCAGATGAGTGGACACACCCACCACCACCATATCCACCTCCTGCTCCGGGCGTCTGCCCTCGCACCTGGCCACGGTGGCCGTAACCCCGAGCGCAGTCATGGCGGTGAGCACGTGCTCCACCGCTAGCACGTCCTCGTCGTAGACGGTGAGCACGAGCAGCGCGGCGAAGAGCGCGCCAGCGAAGAAGACGACCTGGCGGGCCAGGAGCGCGCGCAGGGGCGCTGGGGGCGCGGCGGCGCGCAAGAAGGCGGCGGCCGGGCGGTAGGCGCGGGCCAGG